GATGATGCCGTTAAACTGATTGATGTTTTTTTGTGGGGGTCCAGCTGCTGTCGGGGAGAGATTTCTAGCGCGAGACATCACTTTCCAAAACACGGCTGGTCCGTCGAAGCACCAAGCGGTGGCTCTCCGTGTGGGTTCAGACTTCTCCGCATTTTACCAATGCGACATGTTAGCTTATCAAGACACTCTCTACGTCCACTCTAACCGTCAGTACTTCGTCAAGTGCCTCATCGTTGGAACCGTCGACTTCATCTTCGGAAACGCAGCCGTCGTTCTCCAAGACTGCGACATCCACGCTCGCCGACCAAACTCAGGCCAGAAAAACATGGTTACGGCTCAAGGACGGACCGATCCTAACCAAAACACAGGGATCGTTATTCAAAAATGTAGGATCGGTGCCACGTCGGATTTGCAACGCGTGAGAAGTCATTTTCCGACGTATCTTGGTCGGCCGTGGAAAGAGTACTCGCAGACAGTGATCATGCAGTCGGTTATCTCCGACGTGATCCGGCCCGAAGGGTGGTTCGAGTGGACCGGGACTTTTGCGTTGAACACTTTGACTTATAGAGAGTATGCGAATAGAGGAGCAGGGGCTGGAACTGCAAGGAGAGTGAAGTGGAGGGGATTTAAGGTTATCAGGACTGCTGCTGAAGCTCAGAGATATACTGCTGGTCAGTTTATTGGTGGTGGAGGGTGGTTAGGTTCAACCGGTTTCCCTTTCTCACTAGGTCTTTGAGATGTTATTGTTGTGAAGTGTAACCTACATATTGTTGGTTGAATAATTATTGATTATTATGAATAAATGGTTTTGTGTTTGGAGATTAGTTGAGATTGATCACCCATCTGATTTAGTTATGTACTATTTCGACCTTCTAAATTTTTGATAGCTTACTTGGTTTATGGTTACATCAAGTGTATAAGAGGTGTGAGGTTAGAGTATTTCTTATATCATTTTCAATTTTTTTCTTTATCTTTTTCTACTTTAGTTACTAAATAATAGGTTCAAAAAGTTTTTGTTGCTTCTAGTCATATATTTCTTTGGGCCGGGTCTGAGCAAAGTGTATATCAAATGAGGCTAAAACCAGTTAAAGGGGAAGGGATACTCAAAAAGGCCGAGACTGCAGAAAGTTGGATCATACGTATATGTTTATGGAAACTATCTTATTAATATAGTAGCTTAGAGATAGAGTAATGGAGAAGTTACCTTGATAGCTTCAATAGCATACTCCTTTCTGAAACAGACGTATTTACTCCAGTGTCATACTCAGTCCTTTGGAAACCATAACTCAAAATTTGTCAATACAAATTGAAGTTGAAGTTCAGGTGCATAAGTTGCAGAGTGTATTCCCAGTGATTAGTCGATATTTGCAAAATACAATTAGAGAGTTGACAAATGGGACGTGAATGTTGGCATGTAGGTGATTGAAGGAAATTTTGATTAGTTTTTATGATATTTGTCTCATCTTTTACAATTTGCAAAACGTTTTTTGCAGGGCTGGTTCAACATTTATTTGGGGTCTCAAGCAAAAGAAAATTTAATTTTTTAATATTTATATTTATTAAAAATTAAATATATTCTAAAATTTTTATCATCAAAATATTTATAAAATTTGTGATGAAAATAAATTATGTATATGTAAAATATTTTAGGGCCCTATTCAACTAAAATTTGTAACTATTCAAAATTTTCTATATAGAAATATGTATGTATAAAAAATATTGACTTTCTAAATTGGCAAGATCGGAGGGCAGGGATTTAGACTGGGACGGTCGCACCTTTTATCCCATATAAATCGGCACTGGTTTCTTGACTAGTAATGTTTGGTATATGCTTATTGGTGTATGTGAATGCACAGAAACGTCCATGCATGCAAATGCAAAGTTATAGTGCCATGAATATAAGCTCGGTGGCACTATAACTTCAGTAGCAAAAGTTATATACGTGAATTTGAAATTGTAACTAATAATCTTGGTAATCATAATACAATAGAAGATAATGACATAATTAACTTTCCAGATGACAATATATACATTCATAAAGATTAAATACAAAATTGTTGCTCCAAGAGCCCATTCATGGAGTTTTCACTCGTAGTCGTAGTAGGTTTCTACTTTCTAATATAATTAAATTTAGTGATTAAGAAGATAATATTAATAACTATTGTATCGAATTTTATTAATCATATACTTGCTTATAAAAAATTTGGAGATCGTACGATATTGATAAGTTAGGCCACCACTATACGATGATCTAACTGGACGATGGATTAGAAAAATGATATATAAGAAACTCTAGTCACGTATATCATCTCCCCTCCTGAATCAGACACCACAAGTATAGTTATATTTCTAATATAATTTATATACTAAGTACATGATTATCAGTTAGCATTAATATTATTATCATCTAGTATCTACGAATACTATATTATTAGTTTTGGTTTGAGCGACAAATGATTGTGGAAGTTTATTTTTCTTCTTTTGTTAAAATTTATTCTGGAAGTTTTCTCCAACGTTTTGTGACCTACCTTGATATATATGACTCACTAGTTGCCAAACAAAAAAAAAAAAAAATATGACTCACTCCATCATCTAATCTAGAGTTTTAATATAAACTTTTGCTGGTTCCGAATGTCCAAAGTTGTTGATGACTCGGAAACTAGTGAACATTTGTGGTTTTCTTTTTATAAAGTTTATTTAATTTGATAGAGGAATATTCGTTTTGATGTATAATTTGGTATTAGTTTATTGATTAATTAAACCGGCGAGATAATACTATTCTAGAACATACCTTACTGACGTTGGAAAGAGACGACCTTTTCCAAGCACCTGTACGACGATGTCTCCATGTTTAGCCAACAAGTAATCACTCGTCTAATCACATCATTAACTATACACCAATTATTGACATTTTTGAAATAAAACAAAAACTTACATGTCACTAAAACGTACACGTGCCAAAGTCTTAAAGTTTTGTTAATTAGTAATTCGTCACTGGGCGGCAGATAATAAACACACTAATTTATAAATATATACTTCCTCTGTTTCATATTAAGAGTCATTCTAGAAGAAATATTTTGTTACAAAATAAGTGTCGTTTTCGATTTTCAATGTAAAATTTATTAGCTTTATTATATTATTGATTTTTCTATTGATTAAAATGTGGTTAGGTGTATTAGTAATTGTTTTTTATATAGTAAATATACAAAATTAATTATTTTCTTAATTTGTGTGCAGAAGTTTAAAATGACACTTATTATGAAACAGAGGGAGGGAGAGTATATTTTTTTGAAACTGTATAAATTAGTTAACTAGTTTATTATAACAACTTATACTACTATTTTAAATGTTGTGTTTTAGTTTCAGAATGCAAGTAAAATATATCCAAATACTATTACAAAATATACTCTATTTTGGAGAAAACAATATTTAATACTGATCAAAATACCTAAAAAGAATTTAATAAGTGGTGGCCATCTCATGATGAAATATGTGAAAGCATTTTATGTACTGCACATATCAAACTACGTAAACCACAAGTTAAATATCATTTTTCTCTTAAACAACACAAAATCAATACTCAATACCTCTCTGAGGAGACACTTATAAATCATGCGTAAATACAACGATTCAGGAAAAATCGAATGGCCAACCTTTCATTAGATGAAAAGTAAGAAGAAAAAACGAACAATTATTAAAAGAAAGAATAACTTTACAATTTACTCATAATATGAGAGTCATGACCCCACGACATAGACATTATAAACTTATTAACAAGATAATCAGTCTCATCGGCCATTACTATATTTCCATCTTGCGACTATTTAACATTATAAAAATCTTATAAAATATTAAACTAAGATTCAACCAATCATCGGAACTTAGAAGTTTTGTTTTGCCATTATCTTTAATTAAGTTCTTGGAACCTATAAACCAAACATGTTTGTCACATAAAGAGGAGATCAAATTTTCATCCTAAAGAAAACACAGAGAAGCTATGGCATATTCAACTAAACTTTGTCTTCCTCTTCAAACACAATGTTTTGTTCCAAAGACAGTGAGATCAAAGACTTTGATGCTTCAACAGAGTCAAGTTCAAGTTAAAGCCAAGCAAGTCACAGTTCCTCAGCCAATAAGATACTCCACCAAGAACACTGTAAGATCCTTTCTTCTATTTGTCTAGAAACGGCTCTTGATTTTCTTGAGAATCTGATTGGTTTTGTTACAGGTATATGAAGATCCAGTACAAGGGATCCTATGTTACACGGATGATAACGGAGAGGTTATATGTGAAGGGTATGATGAAGGTCCTCGTTGTCCCCCAGAGAGTCCAATACTAGCTTCTTACTCAAGGTATAATAAAACTTCATAATTCATAAACTGTTAATATCATCAGATCGATCTTGTTTCAATGTTTTTTCTAATGATTGAACTTGGTTTATAAAAAACAGAGAGGTGGAGATTCTTGATCTTCTGCAAAGAAGTTATCAGGAACTGAGAGTTGCAGAGAAGGGTGATGGTCAAAGACAGGAAGCAGCTTCACAACAAGAGTTAAGAATGATCAAATGGAGCAGCTTTGATTTCCTCTAAATATCTCAAAAATCAAAATCTGTTCTCTTCAAAAAAGGCCTCTTGAATAAGAATGTATAGATAAGGAAGGCTGTGAAAGAAGCAGCCATTTGCTTCTTTCTTGTTTCTCTTTTGTAAGAACACACAAACATGAATGTATGTCCAGATTTTGATTTCATTGTCTTCTTAAGTAGTAGAAAAGAATCTCATATACACAAGATGGGATAATATTTGAAAGAATCTTACATCTTTCTAATGAATCATTCAGATAATCATCTGAAACACTACCTGAACGACTCATAATCTAAAAGATGCAAACAAAATCCATATCCACAAGAATTATAACCAAAGAATAGTGTTCCCCCATATATGCACAAAACCAATTCCTATAGACAAAAAAAAAATCTTGACATGTTGAGGATTCATATAAATCACTCTGTTTGTGTACCGGGTTGAGATTCTTCTGGTTGATCGGACCTGGAGTTATTAGTAATGACATCAGGGGGAGACCACTGATCAGGAACCATGAGGAAGTAAGTAGTCATAGCTTTTCTGAATCTTCTCTTGTATTGCTTTGGGGAGATTACTGTTGGTGCTTCATTCTTGGGTCCTCCTAAGATTCCTGTCAACTTCACCCAAGACTCTAGATGTTTGTCCCATGTATACTGCCTTAAGAAGTCGATGATCCCCAGTACTAGCTCGTTCTTTTCTTCATCCACACCTACTAGTAACGAGTAGTCCATAACATCACACACCTGCAACACCACAAACAAAGTACATAAGTTGGTAACCATTACGAGAAGTGAAGCTTCAATGATTAGTAGAAGAGTGTTGTAACTCA